GATCCAGAAGTAATGTGAAATCATATGAAAGCTATGTTAAGGGATTATAGAATCATAGAATCATAGAGTTGGAATAGACCACAAGGGCCATCAAGGTCCAACCCCCTGCCAAGCAGGAAACACCATCAGAGCACTCCTGCCATATGGTTGTCAAGCCTCTGCTTAAAGACCTCCAAAGAAGGAGACTCCACCACACTCCTTGGCAGCAAAATTCCACTGTCGAACAGCTCTTACTGTCAGGAAGTTCTTCCTAATGTTTAGGTGGATCTTCTTTCTGTAGTTTGGATCCATTGCTCCGTGTCCGCTTCTCTGGAGCAGCAGAAAACAACCTTTCTCCCTCCTCTATGTGACATCCTTTTATATATTTGAACATGGCTATCATATCACCCCTTAACCTCCTCTTCTCCAGGCTAAACATGCCCAGCTCCCTTAGCTGTTCCTCATAAGGCATCGTTTCCAGGCCTTTGACCATTTTGGTTGCCCTCCTCTGATGAATGTTTTCCCCTGATACTGCTCCTGCAGGGGCTTTGTTCAATTCAACCCATTGCCTGGAACCGCCTCCCCTTCACCATGCAACAGGTTTGCTTCTTTTCTGCTTTCGGTCTTGTTTCAAGTCCTAGTAGTATGTCAGCTTTTCTTCAGCGATCCTTGCCTTGTTGTAGTTCTTTTCTTTCATTGTTAAGATTCCTGTCCCCAGTCTCAATGCCACATCTGTGTACATCTACTCAGAACCTACGATAATTGTCTGAGGCCCTTCTCCATGAATCCCCACCAGGTGCTGACTAGAGAGGGCCTTTTCAGTGTTGCCAAACACCTCCCTAGAGGTGCCCTTTTTTGTGGCCTTTCTGATTTCCCCAGGCATTTGAGTCTTCAGTATTTTTAGTACTTTTTAAAATAACTGGTGTACTGTTAGTCTGCTGCTAGGTTTATACGGCTCCTGGTTTCATTCTGTTTAAGCTTCTATTTCCAAGCTGTTTTTTTTTTTGTATTTTATGGTTTTTGCTTGGAAACCAGAACTGTTATTATTGGGCAGTAATCATGTCCCTTTGGTGGGCTTAACAGCACCTATTGTTGCTGGATAACAGTAATTACAGATTCCCCCAACCCATGCATGTTCAGGATCCTGATTACAATTACACAAATTTCAGTTTAAGACTGGTAGGAAATGTCTTTAAAACTTACTTGAACTATACTAAGCATTCCTTCCACTCTCCTATACTACAGCTATCTATACAGTACCATATTAAAATACAAGCCCAAAGGGCCAAGAGTGATGACAAAAGAATCAACACCCTTATTATTATGGTAGCTATAAAGCTGTGCGGCTCAGTATAAAACCCTGCAAACAACACTCAAAAGACACAGAGAATCATACTTTCACAGCTGCACATTATAAAACAGCTGGGCAGACAATCTCAAATAGTTAGGCAAGAAAAACATGAAAAACAAAAACCAGGTCACTGCATCGAACACAGCATGGGTCACTCTTCCCAGCTGAGGGCTGGAGTGGAATTTTGAAGTTTGGTCTTGGACTGCAGCCGGATGAGTCTGTGGAATGCAATTCTTAACCTTCTCTTTTGACTCCACTTGACTGGGAGCTAGATTGGATGCTGAAATGAATTGCTGGAGGTCCATGAGTCACTTATTCAATTTGTGGAAACATTAGAAACGTGTCCAACTCAATGAATGGTTAGTTAACCGCTCTCATAGCACTTTGTAAACAAACATCTCCACAAACAACTTTTCTTGTGCAACCTTCTTCCCATATACTTTTATATAATGGGCAGTTTAATGAGTTTAATTATCTGACAAAGCAAATCCCGTTTCAAAGCTGTAGTCTACCATCCACATCCACTTTCATTCTCCCCTTCCCCCGCCATCCACCCCTGGCTCTTTTGGCCATATTAAATTTGGACCAAAGTACTTGTAGTATCTACTGCTCTTGCTTAGATCCTTCAACACAGCCTTTTAAGATGTCTTTAAAATCTAAAGTAGAGACGGGTGGATCCTGATGTGGGTTACAGAACAGGCCACTCAGCAGAGTGGGAAATTCTGTACCAGCGAGTTTAATGTTCCTGTTGTCATGAACTGGCAAGACGACGGTGAGTAGGTAGAAGAGGAGTGTAGCCAGGACTGAAACACACCAGGGCAAGTAGAGGATGGGGAAGGAAGAACTCACAGGGTGATGGAGAATGGGGAAGGGATGGGGGTCTGTGCACAGGAACCAGAGCAGCAGGACCCATCACCAGAGCCAGAGGGGCCCCTGTCTTCATGAACATGGTGGGCTCTGAGGTGTAGGGAGCAGCAGGCAGCATTCTCCAGGAGGCTGAGGCAGGCAAGGGCCCACAGCCCAGCTCCCTAGCTGGCCGGGTGGGGCTCACAAGCTCTGGGAGGAGGTGTGTGGTTCCGGAGTAGGCTAAGAACAGGTGAGGGTCTCGTGCCTCGTCAAGCCCAGATGCTGCAATCAGCAGACAAAGTATAAAAGGGAAGCAGAGCTGAGCTACTGTGTTTGCTTAACTGCCCATGTTGAGGGAACTTGCTTTGGATGCTCCTGGGCCTCTCAGGACTGTGCTATGGGTTTGACTCTGGTCTGTATCCTGACTGCTGGACTTCAGACTTGGCTACTTGGATTGACCCTGAACTGTGTTTCCTGACTTTTGGACTTTGCTTGTGTGGACTGACCTTTGAACTTTGAGCTCTGGATTTAGCATACTGACTTGCTGCCAGGTAGGCCAGAGGTTCAGGACACCTGTGCACCTACTGTACTGAGGAGCAATGGTAAGGTGAGAAGAGAGGGAGAAGGAGAAGTCAGGTTACCAGTATTTTCCCACCTGTTTGCTAAGTTGCACTTTCCACTGTTTCACAAAGGGGAGCTGCTCCAGCCACTTGATCATTTTGGTTACCCTTTCCCTCACCTTTCCCAGATCTGCAGTATCATTTTACAGGTGCTGCAATAAGATGTGCTGTACACCATAGATCTGAAAGGGGTTCCAAAGTTCAACAAGTCCTTTCTGTCTGAGGTTGAGGAATCTTCTACACTTCAAGCCAGCCAACGTTACATTTTATATGAATTATTTCTTTTGCTATTTTAGCACTCACACATAGGTAGGTGTCTTACCTATATTCTTTTTGGTGTCTGAAAAAAACTGTTTTGTTTAGGCAAGCCTGCACAGTCATGCAGGATGTGGACATATATTCTGGTTTTGGGCTTGTTTTTGATTTTTTAAAAGTTGGCTTAACAGATAATTTTATTGTTTTATCCTTTTAGTAAACTGCTTAACGTTTTATAAGAATCCAGTATGTGAATCCTGTGAAATAAAGTAAATGGCCTTTAATGTCTTGGCAGAAAGTCAGCATATAAATGCAGAAAGTAAGAAGGCTTATGTAGGATGCTCAACAGACTGCAAGAGACCTAGAAGTCTCTTTGTGGTTACCTACACATGCACGTTTCACAAGATCTTGGAACCAATCATGCAGGATTCCAAGGACTCAAGGCCATAAGCACATAGGTGCCCCCTCACCAACATCCATAGTAATGTGGACACCTTTGGCAAGACTGGGTGAGCTGATGTACACCCATATGGTCCCTTTAATCACACCACACTCACTGCTTCATGTTCATTGTGAACAATACTGGTTCCTATTTTGCCAGCATTGAAATACACCCCACTGACTCCCTGTGGGTTTCTGATCTTGGAGAGCTGGTCTCAACTTTTAAAGTCCTACACAACCTAAGATCCAAACATCTGCTGAGCCAGCTTTCCTGCATCAATCTGCCTGCCTACTGAGATTGTCATCTTGTTTAACTAGACAGGCTTTTAGTCTCCTGTTCATGTTGACTCCCTCTGCTCCACAAATGCTCCTCTCTTGATTTCTTCCCCTATGTAACAGCAACTCAAAAACAGTCTGCGGTTGCCCTCTAGTGGCACATTGTGTGAGCTGTACTATATGTTCAGTTTTGAAAAGCTTAGTTTCCATTTCCAAATACAGTACAGTGGTACCTTGGTTTACAAACTTAATCCGTTCCGGAAGTCCATTCTTAAACTAAAACTATTCTTAAACCAAAGAGCGCTTTCCCTAATGAGGCCTCCCGCCACCGGTGCCCTTCCACCGTTCGGATTCCGATCTTAGACCAAGGTAAAGTTCTCAAACCAAGACACTATTTCCTGTTTTGCGGAGTTTGTAAACCAAATCGTTCTTAAACCGGACTGTTCTTAAACTGAGGTACCACTGTACTAAGCTTGGAAGAGTTGTTAATCACAGTCCCAAAACACAAAAGAAATACTGGGTTAATGGTCACAAGAGGCATATTTCAGAGATCCACACATCACAGAAGTTCACATGAATATGTGCATCTTTCCATATTCTAAAGCTTTCTTACAGAACATTTCCTAAAATGTGAAGTTGGCATCCTTCCCTATGTGCTGAATGCTGGGTGGCAGACCACATGCCCTGCATGCCCAGGCTGACTTTTGGGACATCTTCAGGTAAGACTGGGAAGAGACTCCTGCCTGAAACCCTGGACAGATGCTACCAGTCAGTGTGCAGACCACAGGTAGCCAATGCAGTGCCCTAAGAGGCTGTTGGACTCCAGTTCCCATTAGCCTCAGGCAGCATGAGCATTGGTCAAGGAGAATGGGAGTTGTAGTCCAGCATCATGGTGGCTTCCCCTGCAACTGTCTCTGTATAAGGCAGATTCCTGTTTGCAGGGGGTTGGAAGACATGACCCCTGGGGTCCCTGCAAGTCTACAATTCTATGATTCCTATAGACTTTATAAAGTTCATTAAACAAAAACTCCAAGTGCAGCAGCATTCCCAGCAAGGACAGCCTGCACCTGAAGTTGCTGCACACAGGGCCCTTCTTCCCTCAAAGTTGGCAATTCCCCGCATCCTCTAGGATGCTCTTGCCCACTAGAAGATGGCGACCACTACCCCAGGCCCCCCTGCCGGACCCACGCGCTCGTTCCTCTTCCGGCGTGGGTTGCCATGGCGCCAGTCCCCTCCTTCGCCCTCCTTCCCTTCTCCAGTGTTTACATCCAGAGCTGGAGTAGGAGGAGGAGCTGGAGGCTCAGTGCCGGGGAAAAGGCTCTGGCAGCCGCGGCGACCTTGCGCCGCTGCCGCTCCTCCTCTCGAGTAAGCCGCGGGGAGAGCCAGGGAGCGCCGCCATGAAGGTGAGCGGGGCGCGCGCCTCGTCCTCCCGAAGGCGCACGGGGCCGGCTCCCTCCTCTCCCTGGAGCCAGGGCGGGTGGCGAAGAGGGCAGTTTGGGGGCAAAGGGTCGGGGGCGGCGGCTGGTTTCCCCAAGCAAAGAGTCCCCCCCACTCCCTCCCACCACCACATAGGGAATTCCCATCCCTGTTCCAAAAACAAACCCAAGTTAACCTGTGCGTTATCCTTGGAAAGGAAGGATGCTCAGAGGTGGTACAGTCACTCCCCCCCCCCCCAGCTCATGGGACTCCCATCAAGGGTATACCTCGGGGCACTGAGAACGGGGCATCTCATCCAGTCATGGTGATATTAAAACGTACACACAACCCATTGCCCGAACTTGGAAGTTTTTAATCAGAAGTTGGCTATCTATCTATATGCCAGGGATTCTTTAGCTGAAATCCCTGTACTGCTGGGGGTTGGACTAGATGACCCTTGGTATCCCTTCCAAATCTACAGTTCTATGATTCTTTGAAATATTCCTGAACTCTGGGCATAGTCCAGGTTTCTTTTTGAATTCTTGTGATAATAGATTTAACTGGGTTTGGTCCGGTCCCCCCGTGTTCTGCGCCCCACTGAGTGAACTGTAAGATAGTGTAAATTGACAATCTATGACAATTCATTTTAATTGGTTGCTGAACCAAACAGGTTTATCTCAGTAAACACTCATTTACTATTCAATAGCAGCTTAATACCAGTCAAGTCATAGATTGAGAACAAAATAAACATATACTGAAAATTAATCTTTGGGAGGCTTGTAAATCTGCTGGAAAAATGCTCATTTTTTGTGTCTTTAAAAAAATCTCTCTCTAGCAAATTTGTTGGTCATAAAACATTGATCAATGTGGAAAATGAATCAACCCACAAAAAAGTCACTAAAAGTCAATGTATATAAAAAAAATTCTCAATTGGAGCCACGGTTAGTTTGCTTTCATCTCATTAACACATACTGTATGCTTCAAATACCAGTTAAAGAGATTTTGCGTACTATTGGTCAGATAACGTTGTTAACATCAATAGAATTCACAACAACAAAAATGCTTGCCCCTAGCACATTTCACAGCTTCAACTGCTACAGACTGTCACTGAAAACAATGCATTGGTCAGTCTGAACCATGTCAAGTAAACTATGGGAGTAGCATATCCACAACACAAACTGTGCTAGTACTTTCTTTTCAAGTCTAATTCCATAATGGGTACAATCTGAGGGAGCCACTACTCCCAGCCTGTGAAAAGTAGTGGAACTTGGCTATCAGACATTTTGAAAATGTGATAGTTTACAGTACATTCTTGCAGCCCAACGCCAGGTTCCAGGCAGACAGCAGCACGGCCAGTCCTGCAGCCTTAGCAACAGTGCATTGACTTTATTTAGGTGCAGCTCAGTACCGGTGCGTCTGGTGAGAGTACTGTGGAGGCTGCTGGGAGGTAGTTGAATATCCCATGCTGCTCTGTGGCTGTGATGTGCTTGGTCCAGGTAGTGTAAATTGAGTTTGACCCAGTTCAGTTTGACCCAGGTGGCTGCGATTCTGTTGCATTGAGTTAATTGATTACATCAGGAGCTAGCGTGTGAGTGACCCAGAATGAAACCGACCTAGGCTGCAAACAGGATTTTTGTGGCGCATTCATGGTACCCTCAATAATAAAACTGAGGACCTTGTTTCAAGGAGTTTGCAAAAGACTGCAGTTTCCATTGTTCATTGCCTTTACACCATGCGTTTGTTTCCCACTGTGTTTTTTGATAGCTGTTATGTGAGTTCATGAGGCTGGAGTGATCTTGGCCAATGCTGCATGCTACATATCCCGTGGTGATGGTAATTTCATCCTTGGTTGAAGTACTTTGTGGCAGCCTATGGAGGGCGGTGCCATACTTTCTAAAACAGACAGGTGTGCTCTCCAAATACTGTTGGACTCCAACTTCCCTCAGCTCTCATCAACATGACAACTGGAATTGCACAACATCTGGAGGGACTACAGAGTCTCAGTCCCTGTTCTACAATCACATTCTACTTTCTATCACTTTTCTATATTCTATATTGGAAGGGGAAGTCATACTTTTACAACTATGTCCTTTTAAAAATCATTCTATCACTTCCCAGTGATCTATATTGCAGGGAAGATCAGTAATAGCAGACTGAGGGCTAACATTTCAGGTAGACCAGTCTGTCATCTGTCAAGTAACTGCTGCTCAGCTCAGCTTCCAAGTAACTCCCAAGTTCCTAGGAACACAATCCAGATTGGAAAAAACCACTGCTCTAGTTTTCTAGGCTGGTTCACGACTGACAAGAATTGGGATGGGAGTTGTAGAAGTCAGTGACATTGTAAATCACAGTTTAGCACAGGGACGGGGGCTCTCTTGAGATTGTTGGAGTACAACATATGTAAAACATAACAAAAGCTAGAACTATAGGTGTAATTATATATGCATATATAAGATGTGATCTGTCTCAGTGGAGAAACTGACACTGGTTTTAATGGGGTGGATTCAGTGGCGTAGCGTGGGGGGTGCAGGGGGGGCGGCAGCACCGGGCGCAACATCTGGGGGTTAGGGTTAGGGGGCGCAAAGCCACGGGTTAGGGGGCGCAAATTACTTGCCTTGCCCCGGGTGCTGACAACCCACGCTACGCCGCTGGGTGGATTGCATCCATCCAAGGAGAGGACTTTGAATTTGAGGTGATGGGGAGCTTAAGTATCCAAGCTAGGACACAGAGAACCTTCTTACCTGACTTCTTAATGTTGTAGCAGGGAAACTGATGTGCATGTAATAAGCTCCCACAAACTAGGAATGTTTCCACAGTGTAAATATGCAGTGTACCAGAATTGTTCCATAAGACACATTACCTGAAAACTACTGCTGCATAAGAGCATCAGGCACAGCAAACATGGGTGAGAAGCATGGAGCAGATTGCTTTCTGGTGTGTGATGATGGCTAGCAGAGGTGCAGCTGTTTTCTTCTTCCCTCCACCTCCATTACTCTTCCTGTCTCTTTACCAGCATGGAGATTTTCTAGGCTGAATATCACTGTATTCTGCAGCAAAGGGAGTAGGCATGCTGTTGCAGGGGTAACATCAGACTAATTAGGGCTATTTTAATTTTAATTGATTAATGTTGGAGTTCCAGTTATATTTTTACCTTGTTTTGAGGGTTATGAAACACCAGTAATTATCACTTGTAAAATGCTTTACATGTGTCACAAAGTTATATTTTAATTAAATGTCAGTTTCATTGTTTTGCGTCACATTCTATTTTCATTTGTCTAGCATGTAAAGAGTTCTAACTCTAGTGTTCAAATTCCCTCTGGTCTAAAACCTAGCAACAAAGTTCTCATTAGAAAACCTGGTTTTGTAAAATTAAGAACAAAACATCCATCAAGAGATTTGTAAACTCATTTGAGTACCAAAAACAAAAGAACAAAAAAAAAAACCCCTCTGTGCGTAACGAATGACTTTCAGTCATCTCTGTGGAATATGAACTTGATTTTAGGCCAAGATGCAAATGTGTGTTTAGTTAGGACTCATCATTCTCAATTTGAAACTGCAGATCCTGCTTAATTAGGCATCCTTTCTGAGCAAGCTGAAAGCCCTCAATTTTGATAGAGGTATATGTTCACATACGCACACATTTTTCTTTGTTCACACACTTCAAAATACCATGAACATCTGTTATGGGGATGTTTGTAACTTTTTTCCTCACTTAAAAGTGCACACCTATAATGCTCCATCTCAAAGAACAGACTGGGTCTTTTCATACATTTCCATCCATTCTGTGCATTAAGCTTAGGGCTCATCCACATTTACCTTCTGCCCTGTGCTTTCTAGGGACAGGTTCATGCTTTAAAGTGCTGTGTCCAAGAGCTTTCTTTTTGCCCCGGTACTTTCTCCATGAAAACCCACTCTTTAACACTGAATCGGAACAAATGACAATTTGGGTTTCTGTGGATTGCCATTTGCTCTGATTCAGTGGTAAAAAGTAGATTTTTTTGTGGGGAAAGCGGCAGGGGGGAAAAGAGCTTGGACATGGTGCTTTAAAGCACAGATCTTTGCCTAGAAAAGCATCACAAAAGGAAGTCTGAATGAGACCTTAGTTATGCCACATCAATCAACCTCCCCCCCCTTTTGTGGCTCTGTGACACTTGCTGCTTAATCAGAATACTTGCCCATAATTGCAAATTATGCACATATGTTTGCTTTGAAAACAAGTCATAAGTTTTTACGGCAATACTTTCCCCAATATTGATGTTGGTGAGGAGCCTTGTTCTTGCTAAGCAAATCACTTTGTTAATGGCCCTTTGCATGTGACTTAAAAGAAAAAGCTGGGGAGATAATTTTGTCTGTTTCCCCTTCTGCTTAAGGATCCCTTTCTTCTGTGGCAATCACTCGTAGCCGAGTAAGATTGTCTTCCATGAACATGGTCTTAACAGTGAGTCCGTAAGTGACTGTAGAAGCCAATTCTGGATCCACATGTCCTTCCATAGTGGGGACAACCGGTAGATTACCAGGCAGGAGTTGATCACGGTGAGGGTTTGCCAAACGTGCCTTCCTCTTACCATGTTTTTCCCTTTTCTCCTGAGTTTGAGCATCTTCAAAGTCCACGACACCTTTGGTAAAGGCTGTTCTCCAACTGGAGCGCTCACAGGCCAGTGTTTCCCAATTGTCAGTGTTTATACTACTTTTTCTTTAAGATTTGCCTTGAGAGGATCTTTAAACCTCTTTTGTTCACCACCAGCATTACACTTTCCATTTTTAAGTTCGAAATAGAGTAGTTGCTTTGGAAGAAGATAATCAGGCATCTGAATGACATGACCTGTCCAACAAAGTTGATGTTGAAGAATCATTGCTTCAACACTGGTGATCTTTGCTTCTTCCAGTACACTGGCATTAGCTTGCCTGTCTTCCCAAGTGTTATGTACCGGTAAACTTTTTTTTTTTTTTTGAGACACCATTGATGGACTCTTCCGAGGAGTTGGAGATGGTGTTTATAAGTGGTCCATGTTTCACAAGCATACAGTAAAGTTGGTAGTACAGTAGCTTTGTAAACAATCATTTGGTTTCCCAGCAAATGTCCCGGTCCTCAAACACGTTGCGTTTCAATCGGGAGAAACTGCACTCACAGAGCTCAGGTGATGCTGGATTTTGGCATCAATGTCGGCCCTTGTGGAAATACAACTGCCCAGGTAGCAGAAGGGATTGAGCCCAGTGCAAATGCCACCACCACCTCCCATCCTGTTCTGCAGGTTCTCCTAGTCTTCCGGAACAGATTTTCAGGGGCTGCAGGGGGTTGCACCAAGAACAAGGAATTAGCAAAATCCTCTCCTCTCTACTTACATTAGTGAAGCTGCAACTTCAAGTAAACAATTTGAAGCAAGTTGTGTATATTTGAAGTCCTTGTTGTTCCAACTTTGTGTAAACTGGGAGTGTAAACACCAAAATTCCTGATTAAAGTATGCAGTTGAAAATGGATGCAGCTGATGGTTTCACAGAATCATAAAACTGTAGAGTTGGAAGGGACCACGAGGGTTATTTCAGGTATCTCACTTCAGTGTCTTGAGAATCATTAGGAAAATATGATGAACTCCTCTTTGTTTGCTTTGGAATTGGTTTGGAAATTACACGCTATCCTTTGGCAGGAGCAGGAACACCTCTGCTTTGGTGAGGCTCATTTGACAACAACAAGAAGAAACTGAGCCTTTAGTATCGTCAGCCCAGTATTGTGAGATGCTCTGCCAATAGAGATTCAGAAGGCACCTTCTATGCCAACTTTTAAATGCCTGCTGAAAACTTTTCTATTCTGCCTGGGCAGACAATTAGGATTACATCCTTCCATAATGGTTAAATGATGTTTTAACTTTTTTATGTAATTTTTTATTGTGTGGTTTTATGTTCTAGTGTTGCAAACTGCTTTGATTTTTTAAAAATGAATTGCATTCAGTTACACTGATCCAGAGCTTTCACAGCCTCTTCTGGTTGAGTAGAACTGTGTGCCATCAGCAATACTAGTGACACCTTGCTTCAAAGCTCCTAATGACCACCCACTTCCAATAATTTCATATAGTTGTTAAATATCATTGGGGAGAAGATAGACCCTACAGAACCCCATAGCACAAGTGTCAGGGACCTGAGGAACACCTACCTAAGTGCTGCTTTCTGGACACAACCCTGAAGATATGAACAGAACCACCATAATACAGTGCCTCTGATTCCCATCCCACCAAGTTGGTCCAGAAAAATGCCATGGTTAATGGTATCAAAAGCAAAATATATAGGCAATAACCACACACTGAAGGGTTGAAACTGAGACTCACATAGTTCACTTTTCAGCCAAAGTTGAAATAGTGGATCCATTTTGACAGAGGATAGTTTAAAAGTCGGGACGCGGGTGGCGCTGTGGGTAAAACCTCAGCGCCTAGGACTTGCCGATCGCATGGTCGGCGGTTCGACTCCCCGCGGCGGGGTGTGCTCCCGTCTTTCGGTCCCAGCTCCTGCCCACCTAGCAGTTCGAAGCACCCCTAAGTGCAGGTAGATAAATAGGTACCGCTTTATAGCGGGAAGGTAAACGCTGTTTCCGTGTGCTGCACTGGTGCTGGCTCGCCAGAGCAGCTTCGTCACGCTGGCCATGTGACCCAGAAGTGTCTCCGGACAGCGCTGGCCCTCGGCCTCTTAAGTGAGATGGGCGCACAACCCTAGAGTCGGACACGACTGGCAGGGGTACCTTTACCTTTACCTTTAGTTTAAAAGTCATCTTGTCATCCTGTGCCCCAGATATGAGGAGGAAGGCAAGATATTCTCAGCTTTTTATGGAGTGTAATTATTTTTCCTAAAAAGGTGATGAGAACAAGTTTAATCACTCTGGGAGAAAGGAAAGTTACCAGCATTGATATCGTACTATATCCGAATCTGAAATGGTTCGCATACCATTTTTTATAGATTAGCTGTAGGTCTCCACAGATCTAGTTGCCAGGGCTGCTCTGTGACCCCTGCTCTGGCCAAGACAACTACAACGACATCCTTTCACGAAATTCTGGGATCCTCTGTAGGCTCTTCCAGACATCCTTTTAGTTACATATGTCTCTTTGTGGTTTGCAATGAAGCTTCTTCTATCTTACAGGGGCCTATTTCAGAAGCACAGATGGTGGAAAGCAACGCAGAGGCAGCTGCCGAAGAAGCACCTCCTTATTTGCAGGAAGAACCTCCTCAAGGTAGAGTGCTTAGACTGCCACTGTGAATTTCTTATAACTTTTCAAAGGGAAACAGGCCATAAGATTCAAGGTCCATTCTTGTGATCCAAGGGAGTAGTATGTGATGTAGAATGCTTCATGCCATGATAGCACTGTTGATAATCCTAACTGAGTCCTTTGACTTCTCAGATACATATAAAACTTTGTTGGCATTCATTAACAATATAGTTCTAGTTTGGCCTAAGCTACTTATTGAGTGATGACATCTTCCCCCTTTCCACAAAGTTGCATTATCTGTAACGTTAAGCAAGTGATTCCTTTCTAATTGGATTGACTTCTGTTGGTGAAAGTGCCCCAACTGAGAGGTTTGGAGGGTGGCAATACAAGAACAGGCCTTTTGGATGGTGGGTCCCTGTCGGTGGAAAGCTCTCCGCAGAGAGGCTCGCCTGATGCCATCATTACATGTCTTTAGGTGCCAGGCAAAAACATTCCTCTTTACCCAGGCCTACGGCCATGAAATAATCTATGCCAGGCATAGGCAAACTCCGGCCCTCCAGATTTGGGACTACAATTCCCATCATCCCTGAGCACTGGTCCTGTTAGCTAGGGATGATGGAAATTGTAGTCCCAAACATCTGGAGGGCCAGAGTTTGCCTATGCCTGATCTATGCCCTGTTAAAGCTGTTGTGGTGGTGGTGGGGCTGTTATTATGATTATTTTATTATTATGCTATCTATTATTATGCTTTTTATTGTGTGTTTATTGTTGTGCTTCATAAAGTGTGTTCTTCATGTTGTACACCACCTTGGGATCTTTTGATAAAGGGTGGTATAGAAATCGAATAAGTAGTAAAAATAACAACTTTGGAGGTAGGCCTGTCATCTCACTCCTAAGGGCATGTGTGGGACTTTTAGCATGGCTGAGCCAAAGGCCATTCTGATTCCCTAAGAAACCCAGCTCCCTCTCCTCTTCCCAGTCTGTTGCATGATCCCAGGAGATCATAGGATCCTGCAATTAATTTTCATCACCCCCACCTTCATAGGTGCTCAAAATCACAATGGTGACAGAGTGCTAAAAGTGTGGGGTTCCCCCCTCCCCCGTATGTTTAAGTGGTAAGCGAAGATTCCCACGACATTATGGATCAAATTGAATCAAGTGGTTGTAGTTATTCTAGATTAATTAAACTGTAGTGACAGAAAGGGAAGGCGATTTGAATTAAGGACAAGTGCTTATTTAAATGGTCATCCAAGAGTTGGACTTGAGTCACTTCTTTATTTTAAATCTGCCGTTTTTATTTTATTTTATTTCTGCTGTGGAAAAGACCTCTTAATAGCAACTACATTTCAGATCCAGAGCTTGCAGACTCTATTCTACCAGCCCTCTTGGAAAGCTAGTTAAGCAGCCTGGAAATGAGATTGAAAAAGGGTGTCAGCGGGAGGTTCACAAATGCCAATCTTAATTAAAAACCTGGTTTCCAGTTAAATGACCCAGATTACGATGAGTACGAATCTCTCTCTCTCTGCTGCGTGAATGTTTCTTTAAGTAAACTTCACTACTGCTTTCTTTGGAAGAAGGTCCTCATATTCAAAGGACAGAAGATGCTAATTGGACCTTTTATCTCTGCATTCACGGGGACATACAAAACTGCTTTCTGGTTCATCTAGTCCAGGGGCAGCTGAAGTGGTACTATCTGTATGTTTTTGGACTACGGTTCCCAGCAGCCCCAGCCAGAATGACCAATGGTCAGGTATGGTGGGAATTGTAATCCACAGTATCTGGATCTCAGGGACTGGCTGGATGATGAAGAACAGTGGGAGACTCCAGCCAGAGAACCTCCTAGGAAAGCCACAGAAAAGGAAGGCTCAGAGCCAGGGGAGCAGTGGTGGGACATAGTCAGAGGATGAAGGGGGTGGAGCAGAATGGTTGGATGCTGAACAAGCAGCTGGCTTGAGTGAGAGAGAAGAAGAAGAGGCAGAAAACACTGCAGACATAAGACAGGCAGCTGAGGAAGAGGGAGCCTGCTGGTATTCACCATAGGTTTTTCTGTTGGTATTCTGTTTCCTTGAATAAAGAATCAACCTTACTGCTCATCTCTGTGTCTCCGTGATGACCTGTGGCTGAACCAGCCCTAACACTGTAGGATGCTTGTTACCCCTGATGTAGCCTATTGCTCCTAACCCATTACAGTCTACTCCTTTTGGCAGCATCATGTACTGTACCACTGATTCCTCTCCAGCTTTTTCTATCTCATCCATTACTTTTTGGGGGGACAGGCGTGGGAATACTATTAAATTTTTAGAGAAAGCCAGGTTGCTTTATTCATGCTTTACGGGGGAAACTGGTCTCTGTCGTGTTGGATTATGATTGCAATATAACATTTTTACCTTGGGCTTTTAATTGCTTGTCTTAAAGGAAATGAACACATCTAATGCAAACTGTATAGTGATACCATATATATATATATATATATATATGGTATAGAGATGGTTATACTTGGTACAATACAATTTTTAACATGCGTTTTAACAGAAGGCCGCAGAGCATTTTGCAGATATGAATAATGCAAAGCTTCCATATAAGATAATGTAAATTTTGTTAATTAAAAAACGCATGAGAGTCGTCACAATGAACATTATTGATTCAATAGTGTCTTAGAATGTATTTAATTTGGGATTCAATGATAAAAGTGATCATGCTGCTCAGTTAAGTGAGTGGTGGGGGCATCAAAAAGTCCTGATGGTGTTAAATTAGTTTTGCTTTCATTTCTATGACCCGAGTGAAGGCAAGGCATCATTTTAACTACCTTAGATTCCTTAAAGGTCTGTGAGTGAGAAAGGAGGGTTGGGAAGAGTGTCTTGAAATGTGTTCCTTATTTTCCTTAATTTTCAGCCTGATGAAGAGCTGTAGAATACTCAAAATCTTGTTCATAACTTTGTGATGTCTTAGTTGATCCATTACTGGGACTTTTAGGGTATTTTTCATCTTCTTCCTAATTTTAGCCTGATTACCTGTAATATGCAGTTTACTGAGAAAGTGCTACTGAGTCCAGTGGGATTTGTTCCCAAGTAAATGTGCATATAATGCTAGCTTTGGGGCTCTGTCAACCAGTTTCATTCATGAGTTCTGCCCACAGGCTTGCTTCTACAATGCTTTCCCTACATACCCTAAAGAAATGCAAGCTGAACCTTCTCTTCTTCCATCTTTCACTCACTGATTCATCAAAGTAATTGAAATATTTAACACTAGAAAGCTGTGGTCAGCTTTCCCCCTGTTGTTTTTTCCCCCAGCAGGAAGCTGGTGCTAGAATTAACATTCTCCGTGGAAGTACATCTTTGGCTCGACTGTCTACAACTGACCCACACCCACCATTGTGGAAAAATGCAAGAAATTTAGAGAGATGCAATAAATTAGCTGGATAGCTCAGCTGGTTAGAGCGTGGTGCTGATAATGCCAAGGTTGCAGGTTTGATCCCCATAAGGGGAGCTGCATATTCCTGAATTGCAGGGGGTTGGACTAGATGATCCACAGGGTCCCTTCCAAGTCTGATTCTAATGCACCAAAGCCAGAAAGATGCATGCCATAGTCCTAGCTATATATGTTTATATAGCATCTGTGCCAGGATGAAATGGGGCCGGTCGGACTGTGCATATTGTTGGAGCAGAGCGGCGGGGGGCTGCCCTGTTTATTTCCAGCACACAGCAATAAGACTTACAATAGATCTTCTAGGCTGTGACACCAAAGCCATTAAAACAAAGTGGCCCGCAATGAGAATAGATCGCTGAAGTTCTTTTAATAGAAAAATGCCATTATGCACTATCTCTTTTGTGCCTTCCCTTTTTATTGCTGCTTGCTCCTCTTAACAGCCCTTTCCCTTGTAAAAATCAGAAGCTCTTGAAAGAAAGAAAGAAAGAAAAAAGGACATAAATAATAAAATACAGTAAATTGTATTGTTCCGACTGTGCTGTGCTTTGGTTTCCTGGGCTCTACGAATTCGACTGCCGTGTCTGCTCACCTTCCCCTAATGAGAGCACCAGGGACCTCGGGCTCCCTCTAGAGCAGTGTTTCCCAACCTTGTGCCTCCAGCTGTTTTTGAACTACAACTCCCATCATCCCTGACTAGCAAGACCAGTGGCAAGGGATGATGGGAATTGTAGTCCAAAACAGCTGGAGGCACAAGGTTGGGAAACACTGCTCTAGAGGCCTCGCACTTCTGGTTTGCTCCAATATTTCGTGAAATTGCATCATGACGATGGCAGCTTTTCAGGCTGCAAAGCACGTGCCTGCTGCTTCTGGAGGGAGAGGAATTGGACGTGTATGACACATTCTCTGCAGTAAAATGAAAGGTTTTGCCCTACAGGGGTTACCTTTCCGTTTCAAAGCAATAAGACTGCAGTCTGCTCCTCTGCGCACGGAGGCCTTGAACTCCATTTAGATTTTCCTTTGTGTCTTTATGGTGTCATCACTCATCAGAATAGAGCTGCCCGGTCGTACAGCACCTTTCCCTATGCACATGAAGGCCGTTACTTTAATGAGCTCATCATTGGTAGCGAATAGCTTGAAGACTGTTCCCAACTAAAGCTAATCTGGGGAAAGTTTATCTGAGGCCAAAAGGGTCTTGGAACTTTGCATTCTGATGTGCTCCTGGTAGCCTTTCCAGGAGGGCTCCCAGCAGGGCAGGTGAATTGCACATGGAAGAAATTTTCTGGAGGAACAGCAGTGAGATCTGTGTCTAAATCAGAAACCAGGAATAATTTTGTTTTCCAGCCCACTTATTTTTCCTCCCATCATCATCATCAACCTGCTAAGAGTTAATATTCTAGCACCCTACATGGCCTTGATTTTAATCCCCCTTGAATCATATTGTGATAGGTGACCCTTATAGGCTGTCTGTTAGCTCATGGTGACAAATGACTCTATTACCTGCTGTCTTAACACACAGCACCCGTTGATTCTGAACACGTCATGGAGAATGGAGAAAGAAAACCTCATCAAGGGGAGCGAGGGGGCTGAAATGAGGTCAG